GACTCTCGGTTGAATCTGACACCTCCGGTCTGCCTTGCTCAGATACTGTGGGGAGTGGGCTTTTGGCTGGCAAAGTCCCTGTGCTGTCAGCTGTGTTGTCACACTCAACTCCTTGTCCTTTAGCAAACAGCTGGCCCTCACTGCTCCCTGACCTTGACTATGCAAGCTAAGTTGTTCAACACTTCAAAATTTCCAGCTGTCAGATTTACCTGCAAATTATCTGGAGTTGTTCTCTTCACATCATATCTTAGAATGAAGTCCCCATCCAAGACAGACTGTGAGCAATTTGCGCAGGTTCGCTGCTGATCAAGAGTTGGCTTGAAAGAGATATGCCCCTGGAAAGAAAAGCCTTCATTAGATCTGAACATCAATAGCTGAAAATCTGTACAGAACACAAAGAAATCTGTATTTTTGTAAAACGAGTATATTTATATTCACAGACATGAGAATAACCTGGTCTATCAGGTTAGGTTGTAGTTTGTTATATATTTATTGATGGGTAAATGATATGTGAAGGCTGCTACCTAGAGCTTTCATCATGTTTACTTCTCCTCCTTCCTCAGTTCAGCCTTCCACTCTGAATGACACCTTTGATAAGGCTTAGGCATTCTACCACCTCCACACATGAGAAAATTAATTGCTCTTCTCAGTTCTTCTGTAAGGAATAGTCCTACCAGAATCCAGGTTTCCAACTACTCCTGTGGGACAACGCCTGCTAGTTTGGGTACCGTAATACCGTGCTACATGGCTTCTGAACTGCCTGCAGATGGCCTTCACCTTGCTAGCTTGGAATTCAGAGCTCACTTGCCAGACAGGCCTTTACTGTACTTTCTCTATTTTTTTTCCTCTCACTTCCATTGCTAGCCACTACCACACTTCTGAACTGACATTATTATTATTTCAGAATTATAACCATAATAAATCAATCATTGTACCTTTTTCTCTGAAAAAGTTTTTTTCATGATGTTTTGTAGATCATTGGTGATGAATGTTCCTTCTGCTTCCAGCTCAGTGATACCCTGGGGCTCAAAGATGTTTACTTCAATCTGAAATATTAATTGAAAATTCATTGTCATTGATTACCCCACAATGTATCAACATAGCCATTTCCAGGAGGATCAGCAGGCAACTAGGGACATGAAAGAGGGATTTTCTTAAAAGCAAAAGAAATATTGTAATTCAGAATGGCAGTGCAAATCCACACTTGTGTGGGTGGACACACCATCAGCCAAACAGGGTTTTTTACACATAGAAGTTAAAAACAAAGCTAGAAACAAATAAACCTTAACAGAAACATAACTTGTTTGAAAGCTAGACAGTGGGATTTAGTGAAATGTCAATAAATACTCAAGTCCTTAAAAACCAGAACCCATCAATGGATGGCACAACCCGGGAGTTGTGCCCAACTTTGACGCACATTTCAGCGTGCCGTAGTGTGTTTAAAGTAATGCTGCATAAACTCTTATACATGCTGAGTTTTGTAATGATTTCTACAGAGCATCTTCTGGGCATATAAAGGAGAAAAAAATTGCCTTAGAGCTGGGTTTTAGCAAGGCAGATTGGAGCAATCAAAGGCAATGTTTGGCACACAGACGACGCAGTATTCTAGAATGCGATACAGGTATCATTGTCATTTAAGATGGTGGTGTGAGAAAGGTACAGTTTATGCTTTATAAAAGCATTTATAGAAGTTATTAGTCTTTTTTACCCCAGGGCATCGTAATGTCTTTTTCAAGTTTCCTGTATAATTTCTTCTGGAGGCTTAGTAGCCGAGCCAATTTGTCAGGCTTCCAAATAAAAACCCGCACTCAAGCGTAGTGGACTATCCACGTGATTCATTAGAAATGTTATCATGGGCCTTTAGCTCACCTGTGAACCCATGGGAATGCCCACGGTACTGCACTTTCAACAGATGTACGGAATTTCATCATCTCTTAAATTACAGTATCCATTTGACACAGATTGCCATTTACCTCAAAATCTTTGACGAGCTGCTTCGGTTTCACTTTGATGAACATCTCATATTTTCCAAACTGTCGCTTCAGCAGTTCCTCATAAGTGAGTTCAAAAGTGACTTTACTGGCTGCAGCAATGTTGACCGAGACCGTGAATTTTTCTGTTTTTCTTCCTGAAGCTCTGTATTTAAGTGGGTAAGAAAAATAATATATTTATCCTCTTTCACGGTATTTATTGTTTGGGTTGGTGGAGTATGATTTTCAAAAAAGAGTAAAACAAAGATGGGAATTTTGATCTGTTGCTAAAATAATACTCAAATAGTGTAGAATTTATTCAGGTTTTCCAATGAGCTTAATGCCAAGAATAGGTCATACAAAGTCAGTAAAAGTTGCAGAAAGCATCTTTCCATAATTGCAGATACTGCTTGCTTAGTCAGATGTCATGTTTCCTTTTTAGAGTTTACACTACAATAACTTAATGATTGTTCTTTTGCCCTGTAAAAAACAAACTGCAAAAATATGCCAGAACAAGGTATTTCCAATCTCACAACCTGCTATAGGGTGATGGTGTGGAAGACACACAAGGCATCATTCTTACTTGACGAGACCAGCAGTCTGTCCCTTTGAAACAGCCTTCTCATACTGCTGTTTTGCAGCTTCTTTTTCCTTTATAGTTCCAGGATAAGTGACACCATCAATTGTCCTGCAGATGAAGAAGTCTGAGTTTAGCCGCACGGTTTGCACCGACACATGGAAAGTCACTATAGGCAGTTCTCTGGTTATTGACTGGATTGCTAAACAGCACTTTCAGGAATGTGGCAATGCCAAGATTTGAGCACTTTTGCTGAAGCTAGTCTTCTCAGTGAATTTTGCTGGAATGAAGAGCTTGGTGCTCAGTATCTTAAGAGAATCTAAACCAAATTTTACTTTGAAATTATTTAGATAAAACTGGGCTGACAGCAGCAATATTTACGTCTGTCATATTCCTCCACTTCAGCAGCGTAACAATCTTGTCTCATCTAATGGCAAGACGCCTCTCTGGATGAGACTCATCTGTCCAAACGTAGCTGGCCACAGCTGAACATTTCATCTTTAGACTCCTTACACCATTAAACTGGCATTTCTCATAGACGAGTCATCTCATCCTGTAATAAAAGTTCTAACATGCATTAAGAGTAGTTGTGCCCTAAAAGCTACTGTTTCTTTTCACTGAAAATAAAACAGGCGTAGCGTGACCAGCAGAGACAGATGTGATTAAACTGAACTAGTCCTCATAATGGTGTGAGAATTTCCTATTACTGCAACTAAAGGTGCAAATGTAAAGGACTAATTCTCTCTATTTCCTGCCTTTCATTCAAATGTGATTTTTAAATGAAGGGATAAATTAAGCTATAATGCCATGAGGGATATTAAGTAATGGAACCTTCCCGATTTGCTAACACCAAAGTAAGTGGTATTTCTGAAAAGGTGAATGCATCTCTGGAGAAGATCCCCCATTCCCTAAGGTCCATGATGATGAATAGAAATAATTGAAAATTAGTCCTCTTTTCTGCAGATGTGCCAATGTTTGCCTTTCTCCAAGTATCTTCCATGTTAAGTTAACAGTACCAGAAAATTACCCAGGAGGCATTTAGAAATCTATTAAATGGCAAGGTAAAAATGAACGTTTGGGTTCAGTTTCTCCCAGCTGCATCTGCAGAGAGCTTCTCTAACAATATGTGAAGATTACACACATGCTGAAGTTGGTAATGAAGGCTGTCTTAGGGAGTTCAACATCAAAGAAGACTTCTTTGTGCACATTTCCACGATTGACAGCTCGACTGGTGATGACATTGTGGGCAAATCGGGAAGTTACTTTACTATCAATTTTCATGCTATAAATTTCTATCCCATTGACAACCTGTAGATAGAAAAAATGGGAAAAAAGAAGAGCTAGCTGTTACACTGATGTCTCTATTAATCAGCCATAATCGTCTTTTTAAAAGAAATCACAGCAGGACGTTCTATCACCCCAAAGCAAACCAGCAAAGACCTAATCATAAGAACTGGAGCACAGCTGTGTTTCCTTGGCTATCTCGCTCACTGCCATCATGGTGTTATTCCATGAGTTATAACTATAGCCTCTCTAACAAAAAAATATACTGCTACAGCAAAGATCCTGACAGGATAAGAATACTTTTTTTTTCTCTACTGTGACTTCTGTTTATGGTTAGTCAAAGCGCAGAACAACTTCCTGCTGCCTCACTGCATTAGTGGCTGTAATTACCAGCTGAGCAGATGACTCCTAGGGCAGGCGTATAAGTAGTCATCTTGTTTAAAAATACACTTAAACAATTCCAGATGGCTCCAAATTCCATTTTATGTTATTCTCAATTTCCTCACAACTGGGGCCCATTCTCTTTAAAGAAGGAAATGGGTAGGGCAACATTTCTTTTCTTTGAATGCTCAGGTCTAAGGTTGCTGGAGGCTATATGAAACCATAGGTCACAACAGATAGGATTCCTCAGGCAACTCCACACAACAGGGTCTGCTTCTTGCAGCAAAACCAGCACTGGAAAGAACCCTGGGGGTTTATGGTGGGCCTCGTCTCTGGTTTGTTGATTAAAAGGGTCCCCAAACAATCAAAGCATCGAAGCATTGCTGGAGTCCTGGTGCCAAGCGGAATGAGCCTCAGAGATGAGGCCTCTTGCCTTCCTTAGGAATAAGTACAACATCGGATAAAAGTAAAAATAAAACCACCATAGAAAGGATGTCTGTTAGAGATACAGAGGTGACTTCAAAGAACATTGCTAATTATTCAAATACAAGAAGGTTAAAAATCGTTTGTTCGTTCTCTTTCCTTGTCCAGGGTTTCGACCAGAGCTTGGAAAGGAACTGTCTCATTAGCCCTCCTACCTAACCCATGCAACTCTGGGCTACTCCCCCTGTCTCACACAGTCAGAAATACCCATTTGCTCAGACTGGACTCACAAATGCATGTTGTCAACCCAGTAAGAATATTCTTGTCACTATAAATCTCTCCAGTAGTGCAGACAAAATCGAGCCTTACTCACCAAGTCATTATCAGCATTTCGCTTCTGTAAAGAGAGAAACAGGGATAGAGTCATTGCTTAGGTAGGAAAGCTGCATTTGGAAATAAATCCCTTAGCACCCATGTAGTTATCTTCTGCTTCAAAAGAAGTTGTCCAGGAGAAGGAAAGCTTGAGAAAGGTCCTCACTAGGAAACTGAAGTAAACTTGAGGGAAGAGCAAGACACCTGAGGCAGGTATCATTTTGCTCACAGCATGCCCGGTTTTGGTGAATCTTTTGGTTTTAATTCGACATTAGTGCACCTTAAATGCCGTGGGTTTGAAAGGTAAGTTAAACCTTGAATGCTGCTGATTTTGTAATCTTCTTTCAGCTGAAAAACAACGATGGACTTCCTGAGAGATGAGGGGAGAGTGAAAGGAAAAGAGCTTTGCATGCTCAGCGCCATTTACGTTTAAATGTCATTGAGACTAAAGAACACACTAGAATCTGCCTAATACGGCCTCCTGGAGTAGGGTTTGGCTGCATGATTGACATCAAAGCAAAAACAGAGTATCTTGTCCTGAGAATTACATGTTTTTCTGGGGAGTTCCTGGTTCGGGGGTTTGTATCAAAGCATAAAAACAAAGTTTGCACATTTTTTTCCAGTCACACGCACATCCAAACTCTCAGGCACACTCATCGTCGCAATCTTTCAGACTTAACTCCTAAATTTCTCCTGTTTCACCCCAACAGCCTCTCACTCTAACAAGAACAGGGGAGATGGTAATTCAGCAGGCTTAGAGAGAGGAGAGGCGGTCATTATGAAAGGCTGCATGGAGAGGAAAAAAAAAGCTGTTAAAACAATTTTTTTGGCATATTTGCTCCCGGAGTAGGTGCAAATAGCAGCAGCTCTACAAAAAATACCACGTACTCTCTTCTGAAAGGGAGAACAGGCTTCAAACATACTTACTGAATCATGTTAAAATAACAGCTTGTGTAACTCAGTTCCCGTAAGCTGGGCTGCAAATACCTTATCTCTTGGCTCCAAGAGCCTCATGGGTCACATTTTGTGCAAGCTGTTTACCTGCTCCACCAAATAGAGAGCTAAAGACACACTAAGATACACATCTCAAGTACATTTAAGGCTTCTGTCGCCTTCACAGGACTTTTACAGGTTGGAAACTGTGACACAGAGGGTTATTTTTTGTTTGTTTTGGAGTTTTTTTCAAGACACTATATTAAACCTATTGTAATGTAAGTTTTTTTGGGAGGAGGCTTCTCCACTTCTGTAAGAGTCTGGCCAAAAAGTCTGTATACATTTCTCTAGGTTCATCTTTCCAATTGCTACTGTCATATAGGTGATTTCTTTTTCATGAATCTGTGTGGGCTTTTTTAATGCCTGTGTAGTACACACCAATTCAAATCCGTCCTTTCCAAAACTGAAATTGCTTTTGCTGTATCTCTACTGTCATTACGGCTAATCACTGCCTGTTACAAAACACAGACTGAGGTAGGGACCCTGGGGAATGAAAAACAGGAAGTCACTGAATTGTCTGTACAAACTTTTCCTCGAAGTGGAATTACCAAGCAGGTGAAGAATACAAAAAAATGCAAAAATGTGTTCTCTAGTTACAAATTCTGCAATTCTGACTACTACCTCCTAAATTAAAGGATGATTTACCTGCATTTAAGTTTTACACAATTGCTGTTGTGCGCATTCTTTATCAGAATTATGGGTTCTACAGTAGTTTTGAAAGAGTTCTGATTCTGTAAATATTTTAGGGGGTATTCTGCCATTCTCCTTGAAAAAGAAAATAGAGAAAAATTCTCACAGTGCAAGTATTAGTCGCTTTGTACTTGGGCTGATCTTCAGTGGAGATACTCAAAGCCAGCTGGACATTGTCCAGGGCTACCTGCTCCAGCCGACCCTGATATGCACAGCAGGGAGGATGTAGCTAAAGACCACGCTAACATCAAGGTAATTTTAAGCTATGTGGGCAGAAAGTGATGGTGTGCCATTAAAAATATGTTACGCAATTCTAGACCAGAGGTTTTAATATCCTCTACCTTGTGTAATTACAGTTACTTGATAAAATCTTTCTATAGTATTCCCATATGTTTGCCAGTGGCACCAATTATTTGAAATTGTTTTTTCAGCTGTATTACAGTGACAAATTCTGCTTTTGTTTAATACTGTTTTGCTGTGGCAACAACAAAGAATACAGGTGCAAAAAAAAAATCTAGAGAATTTGGACAGGAAGAGCAGAGGGAAAAAGAAATTTGATGTCCCAAGAAAATAGGGAGGGAAAAGAAGGATCCTATTACAGTACTTGCTGAAAGCAGCCCCGACTTCACAGCGTGGGAAACTAACATACAGCATGACCAAAAGATTCAGCAGAGACTGTACAGTTAAGTTGAAGTGACCTCTGGGAGTTCACAACACTGAATGAGGTATTTGCATATATCCAGAAGTACTACATAGGAAAAATAAGGCGTGACAATTATTTCCAAATCTACAGCAACATTAAAGATTTCATCATCCCAAGTGATGCTAATTGGAAATCACAGAGAAGAGACCATAAGGCAGCTAGGCTATGAACACTAAACTTCCTCGTGACCTATGTAGGAGTCTCGCTGCTGCCAAAATGAAATGAGAGGGCCATAAAAGGAAGGCTGTATCATTGCTACCCGTGCTTTAAATGCTATGAATATGTAGCCCTAGGGGTAGTTTTTAATCTAGAAAATACTCTCCCACCCTTAGTGCTGCGTGCATAGGAACAAGGTGTACAAGTGCACTTCGGGATCTTTGATTTGG